AACTCTGTCTAGTGTTGTAGTATACCAGTAACAAGACTTTGGTTAAGATGACTGGCAGTGGCACTGAGTGCAGGGAGAATTGATTTTATGCCTTTCTTAAAAAAAAACAAAAAAAAACTAATAGCTGTCATAAATGTAATTTGAACTCAGCTTATTTTTTTCTTTACCTTAAACTTCTAGGGAGTATTTAAGAGATACATCAATACTGTGAACTTGTTTATCAATACATTGCATGTTATTGGTATTTCTTCACATTTGTCTGTTATTTGAAAATTAAAAAAATTTTTTTTTTAATCTATAAATTATTAGGACGAATATCCCAATTGTTGTTATTTTGATTGCAGTCTTTTGGCAGGGTGGCTTGTTAGTAAGACGAGAGACGATAAAAGGATTGAAGCTTGTTTATGGTACCATAGGTTGTCTTCAGCTTCCTTCTTTTTTTGTAAGAACTGTGAGCTAAACACAAGACAAAATTTGTCCTGTGGGCTTTGGTCTATGACAGTGTTATTGACGCTAACTATATCATTTGTTAAAAATCATTACTGCTTTTAATTTTCAAAATCAATTTGAAACTTCATTTTCCTTTTATTTTTTCTCATTTTTGTCTTGAAAATTCAGTTTTATCTTGAAAATTTAATTTTATCTTGAAAATTTAATTTTATCTTGAAAATTTAATTTTATCTTGAAAATTTAATCTTGAAAATTCAATTTTATCTTGAAAATTTTATATAAGTCTTATATGCAGAAAAAAATCTATAGGTCTCATTCCATAAAATAAGTATTATAAAAAAAAATGTATTTAAAATCAAAACAAGAAAAATGTTTACAATAAGATTCTAAATGCCATGTCCATTTGGGATGTAGGTGATTACGGCTCTCCACATTTTCCTTTTCTTTATTATCTGTGAATTACCATGATGTCTTAAGAAAGACAGCGAAGTGGTTTCCCATTGCTTTTTCCATGGCTTGGAATTCAGATTGGTTCTTCTCCTAGACTGGTTGCCACCCAAGGCTACAGTTCTCAGTCTACCTATCTATTTAACCAACCTTTAACCACCCTTTTAACATCTAATTTACCCCCCCCACACACACACACACACTTTATTTTGTGAAAAAAATGTTTACCGTAGAAACAGCTTGTAAGTTACAGAAAGACACTTGTCAAGTCTAGAAATGTCTGGAAAAAGAATGACATTGGCTGGAAAAAGAAATAATCTTTTTGAAACTTCCTTGAAATAATATAGCATGTACCTAAAATTATATAGAAATTATACAGCATGTACTTAAAATTATATAGCATATAGAAATTATATAGCATGTACTTTGGTTTGGTTTGCTTTGTTTTACGGCATATCAACAACAATAGGTTATTTAATGCCAACAAAATTTCCTTTTTTTTTTTCAAAAATGTATAGTTGGTAATTTTTTCAAAAATGTATAGCTGGTAATATTTTTTTCCAAAAATGTATAGTTTGTTTTGTTTTGTGACATATTAACCTCAATGGGTTATTTAATGCTGGCAAGATTTTTATTTCTGGTAATATTTTCTTTTTTTCAAATATTTATTGCTGATACTGATTTTTTAAAAAAGTATTAGTAGTATTATAATGTATTTTTACACTTTCATAGTGTTTTGAGTCAGGTTGTGGGGTCAACTATTTGCCCATAGCTGGGACCCTAACAGGTGCTACCACCCCAGATGAGGGTGGACCTGGGAACACCAGCAATTAAGAGGTGGTTCCACATTCCTCAAAACCTCCTGATCAGAGGCCTTGCTTTTGGACATAGTTTATCGTCTTACTCAGGACGTCATATATAGCATGTACTTCAAATTATATAGCATATAGAAATTATATAGCATGTACTTAAAGTTATATAGCAAGTACAGAAATTATAGAGCAGATATAGTATATGCTTAAGGAAGGTTGGAGAGTGCATCTGCCAAAAAGCCATGATCAACACAACAGAAATAAAGGTGCAGATTTAAATGATATCTATTGCCCATCTCAAAGTTTACGATTATTTTTTTCACTTCATTTTTAATCATGATGTTTTGTAGCTGTATTTCCATAGTCAAGAAATATCGTCCATTTTTTGATGGTTTCTTCCATGTTTAAATTATGTTGACATGAAAAGGAATCATCCTTGAACGTTGGTTTTTTGCTTTCATGATCTGGGAACTATTTAACCTGTGTGGGTATACGTCTTAAGCCCAACTTACGTAACCAAGATGTTTTCAGTGATGCATCTTCCCACAGGATTTATTTCACCTTTACAAGCAATTCTAAGATAACTAGAAGTCCTACCAGGATTTATTATTGGTGGGCACAGTATTCACATAAGATGCACAAATGATACCGTGTTGAGGGCAGACATAGAAAAAACATGCAGAAAATCCTAGACAAGTTTGTAAAGGAAAACAGGAAGAAAGGACTAACTATCAATTGTAAGAAGACAGAATGTATGGGTGTTAGTAAGAGGGAGAGCCCAAGATTTGTGCTACAATGTGCAGATATGAAAATCAAGCAAATACATAAGTAGAAATATCTAGAAATATCTGGAGAGCATTTTAACAAATGATGAAACACGTGTCAGACCCATCTGCAACCTACGTTTTGCAGACGGTAGTAACAGTGAGTTCCAGGACTTGACCAACAAACTTTTTGAAAGAGCAGGAGCATATGGAATGGCGGTCAGCTCCGAGAAATCCAAAGTAATGGTGAATAGCAGAAACAGTAACACCCGTGTCAGCATTACCATGAATGGGAATTCATTGGAGGAAATGTCCAGTTTTAAATACTTAGGAGCAATCTTATCTAAAGATGGTACCTGCAACTCAGAAATCCGCACATGGATTGCCGCAGCTATGGCAGTGATGGCCAAATTGGTAAAAATATGGAGGAGAAAAATCAGCTTTCAAACAAAGTACAGACTGTACAAATCACTGCTAGTCTCCATTCTCCTATATGGATGTGAAACATGGTCACTGTTGGCAGATACAGAGAGAAGGATCCAAGCGTTCAAGGACAAATGGATAAGAAAATTTCTTCATCTTCTATTGTGAACATAAAACCAATGAGTTTGCGCGGAAAAGGTTTGAAAGTTTTGTGGGCCACCAGGAACCTTTTCTCGCCACTGTCAAATGGTGAAAATGGCGCGTTTTAGACACGTTACAAGGCACGACAGCCTGTGCAAGACCATCATGCAAGGCACCGTTGAAGTATTATTATATTAGATTCTAATTATATGGATGTGAAACGTGGACACTGTTGGCAGATACAGAGAGAAGGATCCAAGCATTTGAGAACAAATGCATGAGAAAACTCTTTTGGTATTTTCTATTGGGAACAAAAATACAATGAGTTTGTGTGGAAAAGGGTTGAAAGTTTTGCATGACACCAAGAACCTCTTCTCGTCACTGTCAAACGGAGAAAAATGGTGTGGTTTGGACATATTACAAGGCATGATAACCTGTGCAAGACCATCATGCAAGTCACTGTTGAAGGTGGACATAAGAAAGGATGCCAATGTAAAATGACTGGACAGTGTCGTCAAACAATAGACATGTACGACTATACCAGAACTGCTGATGGCTGCTGTTGACAGACCATTGTGGAGGAGATTCAATATGGCTTCTGCATTCGGATCCCTCCTACGATTACAAAAGTCAAGGGAATGACAGAAAATGCGACACTGATATATTTTCCAGCTTACAAGATGAACTTTTTTCCTAAAATATACCCTGAAAAATATGTGTGCATCTTCCAAGACAAATGTAAAGCAACGTCCAGGCTCATGTAAGCTTGGACGGTCACCTAATTGACTTGACTGATAGGGATGTGGATTTGTATGTTGAGTCATTACACTATAATGTTAGCTATCTATCTAATTCAGCCTTTTATATGATGTACTTAGCTGTTAAAAATATCTTCAAGACTATAAACCTTCCTGGAACCGAGCCACAATCTTAAACATGCTCCGTTTACTAGCAGTTACAGTATGTCATTGCCATACAAACAAAATCGTGCGAGTGATTAATATAAACAATACATGGTGCCAGTATGTGATGGACGCATGGTGAATGTGTTGTTGTATGAGAATGACTTTTTCTTTCTTAGAAATTTCTTTCCAATATTAGGATGCATCTTCCAAGCCGGAAAATACGGTAATTAAGAAACAGGAAAATTTGGTTATAATAAAGAAAATAATTTTGTTATGCAATACCGATCCTCTTATATAATGCTGGGACAATTTCCTCCAAGATGAAATGAAGACTTGAGGTAACAGAAAAATCGTTCTACAGAAGGATACTAAGAATGACATGGATAAAATATGTAAGTAACGAGGAAGTTTTAATGAAAATGGAAACAAAAAGGACACTTAGAATCAGAAAGGACAGTTTAAATTTTTATAACACATAATGAAGAGAAGGGGCTGGGAGAATTTAACACTCACAAGGCAAGTAAGGCAAACATTAAGTAACCTAATGAACAAATCTATCTATATTTCTGAGATGAAGTATTATGTATATTATTTACATTATTCGGACTATTGTCCTCATCTTTGTTGCCATATTTATTACAACATTTCAGCCATTGTACGCTCCAGCCTTCTTCAGGTGGTTGGAATGTCGA